TGCCAGAAAGGAACCTCACACCAGGTGCAACTGAAATTGAGAAACCCTGCCCCCAGCTGAAATTACAGCCCATCCCTGAGGCTGGCCTCCCCACCCCCACCCCAGGGTCTCATCTCTGGGCCCTGCCAGATGGCAATGGGGGAAGTGCCACTGAGGAGAATCTAACCAGACAAAGAGAGAGTCGGCATGTCCAGCTTCCTCCACACAGTCTCAGGGCCGCCCGGCCCTGGTCTCTGGCACCCTAAGAGGCCAACTTATTCCAGCCCTCTCAAAGAGACCTCCCCTTTCCTGCAGCTGGGGCTGACCTCAGCCAGGCTCTCCTGCACATCTGCAGTGATGGGGCCCTTGCTACCTTCCATTGTGGAGCCACCTGGAGTGTGGGCTGGGTGACCTCCCCCAATCCCTTGACATTAGAACAATCTCGAGGCTCCTAAAGTGACATCAGCAGCCCTGACCATTCCAGTGAGCCTCAGCTGCCTGCCCATCTTTCTATCGGGAGGTCCTACAGCTAGCTCCAAAAGTAACAGGGCCTGAGCTTCCCACCCTCCACTCAAATCATGACCTCTCCCAGGCTCCACTACCTCGATAAGTGGTCCCACTGTCCACCCATTGCTCAAAATCCTACCAATGTTACTTCCAAAGCGGCTCTCAAATCTGGGTTTGGTCCTCCCATCCCCACAGCTACTATCATGCTCTGAGCGCCATCTCTCACCTGCATGACCATCTTTACCTGATTCTCCCAAAAAAGCTGGAGTGAACTTTGAAATACACAAATCGGAGCATGCCATGCCCTGCTTCAAGCTCCTCACTGCCTTCCCATGGCACCCTGGCACCAAGGCCCACCAGGCTCATGGCCTCCTGGATGGTCTTACTTCTTTCTCCCTCTTTGCCTGCCCCCTCCTCTGGGCAGTCCCTTAGGCTCTTCTCTGCCTTGGCAGTCCTTGTGCTAGTTATATCTTCTGGCCGTGTGCCTTCTTTCCCTTCAGGTCTCAGAGTCTGGCCCCACCGCCCTCCAAGAGAATGAGCCCAGCCCTGCGACCTTCTTGAGTCCAAGTCTGCCTGTTTCCTTCATAGCACCTGGGCCAGTTTATTCGTACATCATCTGGCTGTCTCCACTGCTAGATTTTGCCTTTGGGTCTGTGCTACCCATTGCCTTATTGCTCACCAATGCCTAGCAGAGATCCTGGCACATATCAGGCACTCAACAAGCGTGCTGAATGGGTAAATGCCCCAGAATCTGTATTGTGGTACCATCACCCCATTGGGCCTTGCATTTCCTTCAGGGCGACCCGAGCAGGTCCTCTGAAAGCCGGGCCTGCAGTGTGGGGAAGTGCAGAGGCCCAGATTCAGATCTAGGAGGCCTGGTTTCCACCTCTAACCACTTACTCCACTCCGAGCCAGCCCAGGGACCTTGGGCATGTCCCCGACCTTCTCTAGCCTTGGCTTCCTCTCTGGAAAATGAGGATAAAAATCTGAGCTCCTGGGGGTGAGATGAGGCACAGAGAGAGAATGTATGCCAAGGCGACCTCACAGCCGTGTCCCAGGTGGATGTCCCCACTGAAGTGCAGATTTACACACACAGACTCACACTCCCCAGCCAACTTCTGGGCTCAGAAACTGCAGAGCGGGTCCCTAACACAGAGCATCCTCCCCACACCAGCCTCAGCCGAGGCCTGTCCTTGCCCCCAATGTGGGGATCCTCGCCATCTAGTGGGGAACCTAGGCAGGAGCAGGCTGTCTCAGCCCCTCTGCTCGCACTGCCGCCTGAACTCCCTCCGTGGGCAGAGCTGGGCCTAGGAGCGAACACCGGAGCTGCCCACCCAGGCCCTCAGCCTCTCACCCCGATCTGGGAGCCCACTTCCCACCACTCCCTCGCCTCCGGCCGCACAGAACTTCTCCATGAACGATCCTGAATGGTCCACGTTTTCTACAGACTCAAGACCTTCCCACAGGCTCTTTTCTCCCCCACCCTCTTCTCCCTGTCCTGGCTGACCCCTAGCCCCTGCTCACACTCTACTTGGATGGCCCCTGCCCGGAGGCCCCTGACCCAGCTAGGCCTGCCCTCTGTTGCCCCCCAAGCATCCCTCCCGCCCTGTTGCTAAGCCTGCTCCACACACATTCACTATGCTTCTTGCCCGGATCCCTCCTTCAACAGAGACCTTGACAGAGATTCTGTCACGCTTTCCTCAGCAGTGTAAGTGCTCAGAGGGCCTGGGCCCCATACGCTCAAACTGCGAGTAAGTCCCGGGGGCATCAGAAGCGAGCGGGTCACAGCCTGTGGAGGATGGACACTGGGGGTTTCCAGGAAGGATGCAGGGTGCTGCTTCATGCTGGGTCCCACCTCCAAGCCCTCGTGCCCACTGAACTACCATTGGTCTCTGATTCCTGGCTGTGTGTCTGTGGTGAACTAACTCACCCTCTCTGGGCCACAGCTTCTTCTTCCCATGCTTCCCTTACTCCCGTTCACAAAGCTGCCTCCAAGAGGAGCAGAGGATAGAACCCATGAGCAAATTACAGTGTGACCTGTTGCCAAGCATGGGAAGTTTGGGGCATTCCAGGCAGGGCCCAGCAAAGGGCTGGGTGTGGGTTTCTCAGGTTAATTCTCTGCTCTTCATTTACCCGGCCAACAGATGTTTAGAAAACACCTAAAACTTCGGGGCTCTGGAGTCAGATTGCCTGGGCTCACCACCAACGGCTGTTGACTGCTTACTTGTTTGCTCAGTTGTAAATGAGAGGACAAAAACAGTCCTGCCTCCCAGGGAGGTGATACATGCACCTGGCTTGGGACAGCCTCTGGCCTGCTGTTAAGTGTTCCATTAACATAGGGGCTATTGCTGCTACCATTGTTCCCCGGGCGGCTGCAGGGCTCAGTCACTAAGCTCTGCCGCCTTGACCGCCCGCCCACACCCAGGGCCTCCCTTGTCTCTGGCACACCGTCCCGGTCCCCGGCCCAGTCCCAGTGCGGCCCTGGCAGCCCCTCATCTGTCCCCCCCCCCACCTCCTTCAGGTCCTCAAAGCCTTCTGGAATTCTGCCCTGGGGAATTCCAGGCCGTCAGCAATGGGATTTCCTCTCTCTCTGTCTCTTCTCTTTCCTGTCCCGTCCCAGGAAATCTGGCCCTCCCCTGCATCTCCCCTGCATCTCCCCTCCATCTCCCCTCGATCTCCCTGCAGGCCTCCCCATGGCTTCCCCTTTCGCTTCCACAGCCTGTGGAAGGGGGATCGGAACCACAGGGTGTGAGCATGTTGTCCTCCTGCTCCTCATTGTTATTTCCAGGCCATTCTCCGTCCCCCTCCCCCAACACACACACTAAAGGACACTAGTTTTGAATCTTGTCACCGCACGCCTGTAGCTAGCATGCCTCCCTCCACCGCAGCAAAGATACCTCCCAAATACTCCACCGCAGCAAAGATACCTCCCAAATACTCCACCGCAGCAAAGATACCTCCCAAATACTCCACCGCAGCAAAGAT